GGGCTTGCTGGGATTACACATGTTGGCTTTCATTTTCTCTTCACTATATGACAGAAGTTCACTCAGAGCTTCATTGAATAGCCGGGTGGCAAAGCATGTGCTCTATTATATAAGGGGTCAGGTTTATTTCCCAATGCATCTAATTGAAACAGGGGAGGGCATAAGGCATCTTGAGAGCCCCCAAAGCATCTGCAAATATTGATTTTTGAAAACCACAAAAATTATTGACATGATTCATGGCTAAAATGGGGGGGGGCATTTTCCCAGTGGCTTTCCCATCTTCTTGCCAGCTATTTTGTGTTGCTTTTAAGTTATTTTAAGTTATTCAGAAGCTAAATGCTACTCACCACTTTTTGTCTGAAAGAATGATCTGGACCTTCATTGTCTTAATTGCATGAGGAAGCTTTCAACAGGCATGAGGAAGTCTTCAATTACTTCCTGAGATGTGCCTTTCTTCCTTGTTAATTGATAACTGTAGTTTCTTGTTGATGATTAAGACCTTTTGGGGCATCAGGGAACCAAAAAGCTCTGTTCCTCTGATGCCTAAACAGTTCTTACTGTTGACACAGGTCACAAGAAATTGCAGTCTGCATTTAACAAGGAAAGATGTGAGGAAGTAATTATTCCTGTTGAAAACTTTAGCAGGCAGCTAGAGTAAGTTAAGGTGCAGAATCACAATCTGACACAGGAGGAAAAATTGGTAAAACAATGTTTACTTGATCAGTAATATAAAAATGAAGTAGCAGGCATGAAGTCAAAGCTGGTAAAGTGAGCTGCATATTTTTGGCAGTGATCATGTTTTTTTCTGCAGAAGGGTAGGGATGTAATCCCGAACATACCAGCCAAAATTAAAATTGCTCCTCACCCTGCCTCCCACTATCACTGCTCTTTACATTCAAGGATTATTTAGCAATAGCATGGCTGAATAATACCGTATTTTTTGCTCCATAAGACACACCTGACCTTAAGACGCACCTAATTTTTAGAGGAGGAACACAGGAAAAAATATTCTCAACCAAATAGTGTAATAAAATATTTGATAAACTATAACAGAATAACATTTGAACCATGTAAAGTGAACAGCTGTCAACAGTGGCATTAAGAACCATTACCACTGTCATTAACAAATGGAGAGACTTAAAGGTTTGTGTACTCTAGTTTATGTACCATAAATTTGTGTACCATAAATTTAAGTCAAGTACATATAGACCATTATCAGCCAATGATAAGACATATACCACACTACCTATATTTTACATTTCCTTTCATCCACCTCCTCCCCATGCTTATAGAAATGTCTCAATGACAGATGAGATTGTTGTACAACTCTGCCCAGCTACAGCTCAAGCCTATATTAAGTTAGAAATGGTTTGTCTGATTTGGCACTCCATTGAGAGGTCCCTTTTAGTTGTGTGGAGGATAAATAGTGGAATTAAACTATTTAACAGCTGGTTTTCCTTATTTACTTTAGGTTATGCAAAAGAACAGCAGCACAAAGCTTAGCCTGATCCCATTCACCAGCAGCAGCACATGCTCAGCATAAGACCAAATCTCGGTTTTCTGACATAATTGAAGGTTTGTAGCATGCAAAGGCACAAGAGGTTATTCAAGACAAAGCCAGGAGCAATGTTCTTGGCGAGCCAAAAAAACTGAATACAAACTATAGCAGCTGAAATCAGGAAGCAGGTACTGTAATCCAGTTAGAAGTCACTAAGAATTTTAACTTTCTTAATTTTCACACTACTGTATCAGCAAATGTAGCATGTGCTACAGGCAATGACTGTTCCAAAAACACTAACCAAATAACTATGCCATGTCTCTGAGACTTCCTGGCCCTGTTATGATTTAGATACATCAAAGAGATACCACAACCATAAGGACATGGAAACAACTAAAAGCAAGACTGCATTTTGCTTTCCTATGTATGCAGGTTTAATTTGTGATCAGCAGCTAAGTTTGTGTTCTGGCTTATAAAGCACCGTTAGTTTCCTTGCTGCAACACCCTTTGGAAATACTGTACATTCTCTATTAGATGCCCAGAACTAGTTGAAAAGTTTGCAAGTTGAATCCAAATTTCCCATAGAAATGCATTGAAAATTAATTAATGCATTTTTATGGGGGGAAGGTCAGAAACTGTTAAAAACTTAAAAGAAAGTCACTTACCAGGT